ATAATGTGGAAAATTGCCCAGCTATGTCCTGTACACAAAAAGCAGACAAATCCAACCTGGCCAATTATTACCACCCCATCAGTCTACTTTCGATCATCAGTAAATTGATGAAAGGTGTCATCAACATCAAGCAGAACCTGCTCAGCAACATCCAGTTTACTCAGCTCCTGACTTCACTTCAGCCTAGTTCAAACTTGGACAAAAGAGCTGAACACCAGAAGTGAGGAGAGAGCGACTGCCTTGATATCTAGCCCTTGATTTCAACAGAGGGAGGCATCAAGGAGCCCTAGCAAAACTGGAATCAAGGGGCAAACTGTCCATTGGTTGGAGTCATGCCTGATACATTGGAAGATGGTTGAGATAGTTGGAATAGTCATCTCAGCTCCAGTACATCACTGCAGGAGGTCCTCGGGGTAGTGCCCTTCAGGTGCATCATCAATGACCTTCTCTCCATCTTAAGGTCAAAAGTGGGGATGCTCATCAAGATTGCAAAATTTCCAGCACTATTTGTGACTCCTCAGAATCTGAGGCAGTTCATGTTTAGATGCAACAAGATGAGAACAATATCCAGGCTTAGGCTGACATGTGAAAAGTAACATTCACACCACTAATGCCAGGCAATCATCATCTCCAATAACAGACAATCTATCCACTGTCCCTTGACATTCAATGGTGCTAGCATCACTGAATTCCCCACTATCAACATCTTTGGGGTTACCATTGACCAGAAACTCAACTGGACTTGCCACATAAAAAGTGGCTACAAGAGCAGGTCAGATGCTAGGAATTCTGTGGCGATTAACTCACCTCCTGATTCTCCAACCATCTACAAGGCATGCATCAGGAGTATGACGGAGTACTCCCCAGTCGCCTGATGGGTGCAGCTCCAACAACACTTAAGAAGCTCGATACCATCCAGCCCGCTTGATTGCGCCAAATCCACAAACATTCACTCTAAAATTTCTAAGGATAACAGGTGACCTCATTGAAACTTACAAAATACTTAAGGAATGGACAGAATAGATGCAGCTAAGATGTTTTTCCTGTTTGTTGACCATAGAAGCAAGGGGCACAATTTAAAAATAAGGGGGAAATATTATTTTAACTCAGGTGAAGAAACATTTTTTTTAAACTCAGACGGTGATGAATATTTGGAATTCTGTATGCCCGAGGCCTGTGGAAGATCAGAGGACTATATTTAGAGATTGATGAATGTTTGATTATCAATAGTGTAAGGCATTACGGTAGTTCAGTGGTTAGCCCTGCTGCCTCACAGCAGAGACTCCAGTTCAATTTCACCCTTGAGTGACTGTCTGTGTCGAGTTTGCAAATTCTGCACGTGTTTGCGTGGGTTTGCTCCGAGTGATTTGGTTTCCTTCCACAGTCCAAAGATATGCAGGTTAGGTGGATTGGCCATGCTAGATTGCCCATAGTGTGCAGGGATATACAGGCCAAGTGGATTCACCACAAGAAATGCAGGGTTGTAGGGGGTCTGGGTGGGATGCTGTTTGGAGGGCTGGTGTGGACATGGTGGGCCAAATGGCCTGCTTCCACACTGTAGGGATTCTGTTAAAGGTTATGAGGGTGATAGGAATAAAAGTCATTGAGATGTTCTATCAACCGTAATTGTACTAAATTGGCTGAATCGCCAACTCCTGCTCCTAACTAAGATCAGGCCCTGGAATTTTTATTTTTGCACTTCTTCAGCGATACAGTACGATATATTGTTGTTCACTGATAAGAAATATACTTGGCACTCTTGAAGGTTTCAACTAGAATTCAGAAGACGAAAGATGACGTATCAAATTGGAAGAATTAATGATGCATCTTGTACAAACCTAGGGCGACAGTAGCTGAAGAGTCTCAAATTCTGCAGTTGGAAGATATGCAATAGACTAGCATAGGAAGAGGAGGATGTCAGCCATGGCTCAGTTGGTAGTACTATTCAGAGGTTTCAGCACAAATTCGGTCTAACATTTCCACTGTAATATTAACAGAGCATTGCACAGTTGCAAATGCTGTGTTTTAGATCAAATGTTAAACTGAAGACCTTTCTGCCTTCCCAGGTGAAAGCTGCTACAAAATTTCAACTCTCCCTTTCTTCCTTTATGTAGGTCTTGAGGGTGATGCAAAATAGTATGTGGTGAGACCAGGTAAGAGCCAAGAAATCGGGGTGAGACTTTCAAAAAAAAAAAAAAAAAAAAAATCAAAGGATTTAAAATAACCTGGTGAACATGTGCAGAATCTGTCCTGGGAGAAACGACAACAGCAATATTGTCAATGTTTAGCTGATGAAGGAAAATGGTTCTGTGGGATATATTTGCCTCAAACTGCTCCTCTCCCTGAACACATTTAATGAGAGGATTTTTAAAATTAGGGCTCCCACTGCTAGAAACACAGAACTTGAGTCAGGATATGCCGCTGGAACCACAATATCATAAATTAAGGATTGAAGACAATATTTTACAATTGGCTCTCAAAAATAATTCTAAATTTTAAAGATTCACTCATAACTCAATCCTCACTGACAAGATCAGCTGTCATGTTATACAATGCCTTGAGTCACAATACATCACTACAATAAATATGATTGCATTGTGAGAGGGCTTAACTCTCAAAATGTTCAGTGCTTAGGTATACAGTAATTAAGCTGTGCTAATTGTGAGGAGTGTTAAGCAGCTGCAGGTTTCAAAGCAATTATTAAACTAATGCAATAGTTAAAGAGTTGAAATTAGAAACCTTTGAAAGAAAGTATGCATAAGATTAATAACTCTGCACAGAGAGAACTTCCGTTCACAAAAGAAAAATAGCCCAGAGTTAGGATGAAGGGAACAAAAAAAAAGCAAGCCATCAACTCAAAACTAGATTAACACATGATCTGCAAGATTTGTAAGGAACCGCCAAGAGCGGTGTCATTACAAACAGCACATTTATCACAAGAGAACAGAGTCCAAAAAAAGCAGCATTGGAAAAGATCTTAGTTGAATGGATCTCAATGTATAAAGTAACAGAGCAACCAGGTCTGCTTTGTAATTTTTTTTCAAAAAGATCACCATTTGTTGAGATATTTAAATTTTAAAAGAATTGGGACAATTGAGCAAAACTGGTTTTTTGGAAGATTAACCAGATTGTACAGATGTGAAATATGTTGAGAAATTAAAATCAACAAAAAAAAAAAAAGTGACTAGCTTGTGACCTTTTGAGAAGACAGTAAATTGACTTTAAACAAACTTATTTCGGACCAGAAGAAAATAACACAGAACTTATCAAAAGTAAATAAAGTCAAACCTACAGGGAATTCAGAGCTGGAAGTAATCATATAATCTGTGCCTTAAAATATGTACACGCAGCAGAGTTTATTGAGACAGTGGATTGAAGTTAGAATTACAGATGACTGGAGGTCTGATTAAGTTCCCCTTATGGCTCCTCAAACAAAATCAGTCACATTTGGAGAAAGTACAGAAACAAATTTATTCAGTAAGAATAAGGTTAAAAGTTTTTTTAAATAAACTTAAAGATTTTGCTCACAATAAAAGTAGCAGTTCAAACGTACATCCAAGAACATCAGGAGTGGTTTAATATCTTGCTTCAGTAATCAAATGTTTCCAGTGACACAGTGGGATTGTCAGATAATATACAAGGGAGAAAGGAACAAAATGTTACTTGGACTGGGTGAAATGACTTGAGCAGGAGAAAGCTCACATGGTGCACAAACATCAACATGGATGCCAAAGGCCAAATGGGCTTTTTCTCTGCTGCAAAATGGAGTTATCTTTCAGGGGAAGAAAAATAGATCTTCGTTGGTTGGAAGAACCTGCACAGGATTGACAAGATTCAGTAGTATTGAAATTACAGTCAAAAGCAGCTTGGCTTGTTTTTCCACATTGATGAAACAATAAACAATTACAGGCTTTGCAGGGAAGTAAAAAGGAATTGGAGAACAGGCATGGTTACTCAATTGAGGTTGCATGCTTTGAATTCCAGAATGTGAATTACAGCAAAATGCCAACTAACAAACTTGTGAAATGCAATCATGGGCATTATTTTTCAATGACAGCTTCTGTTCATTTCACTAAAGAAACAAGGTAAAGTAGGGCATTTATTACTCATTTAAAATTACCTCGGAGAAGGTGGTGGCAACTGCCTTCTTTTTGACCACTGCAATTTGGGTGACAAAAATGCTCATACAGTTCCAAGATTTTAATCCATAAAAGTATGTATACATAAGTATAAAGTATACATTCGAGTTAGGTTAATGTGCATCTGGAGATGGTGCTATTCCCATATCTTCTAGGTTGTTCCAGATGGTGGAGATCATTGATTTTGAAAGTAACGCAAGCTTGTACAAAAGGCTGCCTGTGTAGCAGTTCAGAAAAACTAATATTTATTATAGATTTCCTACCCAAACTCGAGTTGTTGTTAATGCTGCTGAAGCTGGCATCAGAGAAGAACAACATTGAAAATTTAGGCTGACTCCAAATGGAAATGAACATACTAAAGCATGCAACTGCTGAATATCTGAAAACCACATTTGGCCATCTGGTTACTCTGGGTGGTAGGTTTACCACTGAGATGCATTTGATCTTGCAACTGGGGTCTAACCACACTTCTAAGTGGTTTTGACCTGTGAAACCTGTGTTGTAAGCATGCATTTGCACAGTACCTTCACTAACATTTACCTTGAAAAACTATGCTCGCAGAGTAATATGTTAAAATTAAATGAGTGTTCTTTTGTATTATGTCCTTTGACTGCATACTCTCCCATCCTAGATACAGTCCAGCTGCCTACACTGAAGGAGCATATACTGTTCATGAATTTGTAGCTTTTCAATTTGTCACCACACAGACCCCACCTTGTCATTTCACTTCCATTTTCCACATACTTCTCTTCCTGCCTTGTCATTTTCCCGCTTTTCACCCCTCCTTGTCCTTTCCTCCCAAGACTCTCCACCTTCCTCCCTCTTGAAGAAGAAAACTCACAGATGCCTCAACAGCCACAATTTAGGAAAACAGGCACATTTTATTACATACATTTTTAAATAGAGGGAAAATGTTCCCTACCTAATAGTCAGTTATTCTAAAATCAATTGTGTACATTACATTATGAATAAAATTATACATAAATCAGATTTCCAAACAAATCTTTTGTCACTTAAATCCCTTAAAGGGACGATAATAAAGTATACAATATTTGGCAATCCAAAAACATATGAAGGAAATGTTTGACAAAAACTATACTTGCACCTCAGCAATGCAAAGCCTGACTGAGGCTCGGCCTTTATTCAATCCATGGTGTTAGTGGATCTCAATTAAAGTGAGGATTATCTTTAGCATTTTGGACTTCAGCTGGAAGGGGAGAGGATGGGGAGGGGTGGCCTGCTACCCACTCCAATTCCCACCTGTTGAACTTTGTAGTATAGTATGTGTGTGAATGCTTGTCACGACAGCACTGGGGTTTAAAATTGATGCCCTCATTTTTGTTGCGTTGCTTTACTCTGAGCTCACACGTTAAAGAGTGCACTGCTAGTACCCTAAGAACATATCCCCAATGAAGAAAAGAGAATAAATAACCAAAACAAAATCTTGTTGTATTATCTGCTCTATTAAAAATTTTGCATTTGCATCTATTTCCTATTAACCTTTCAATTTAAGTTCCTATGGCCACATTCTCATGAAAACAATTTATGTAAACTATGTCATTCTTCCCACTTAGGGCATGCACATAAGCATCACTGGACAAAGGGCTTATATCTGTGTGACAAGTTTATATCCACAACTTCCATCATAAATACAGAGACAAATTTATGACTTCATAGCAGAAATTACTATGGCACATTCTCCTCTGATTATCTCCTGAGTTCTTCTACCAATTCACCTGAAGCTTAAATTTTGCCAAACTAAAAAGTTATTTCACTGTTTTGCCTAATCTTTCAATGTTAGTAAATGTTTGTCAAGAAAGTGTGCATTTGTTTTATCCAAAGAAAGCTGAAAAGATGGTAAGAGTAAGTTAATAGCAGTGAACAAAGATGAAGCAGTTGTGCTGGCATTCTTCCTCTTTAATTAAAGGTTTAATTTCAAAGTTAAAATCTTTTATTTCATAATTAGTTTCCATAGAAATACCAATTCTTTACATGAAACTTACATGTCCATGTTCATAATATGAACGTACTACAGAACTAGAACTAAGGTGAGTCAGTTGTAAAATTGGCATCAATGTCAATAATCAATACTGACAAGGATCCCTGCACTGACTCGCTTAGCAATGTTTCAAAAAGAGGAACATAGGAGTCAGAGCAGGCCATTCAGCCCTTTGAGCCTGTTCCACAATTCAATAAGACCTTGGCTGATTTGATCGTGGTCTCAGATCCACTTTGCCTGTCATCCATTGCCCTTGGTTTCTTCACTGATCCAAAATCTAACTCAACCTTGAATAAATTTGAAGGCCCAGTTTCCACCATCTCTTGGAGAAGAGAATGCCACACTTTAAACCCTTAGAGAAGGGGTTTCTCATCTCTAATTTGTTCTTAACCAATCCCTTTGTCTTAGTCTCTCCCACATGAGGAGAACCCCTCTGTGCATCCATCCAATCCAGTACCCTCTCAGTCTTATGCATTTCAATAAGAGCACCTCATTCTTCTAGAGTCTAATCGGTTCAGCCTCTCTTAAGTCCTTCATCCCAGGAACAAATGAAGTCAAGATACAGAGAAGGATTCCCTCTGCATGTCAATTCACCATCCATCAAACCAAAACAGAAGTGGGAGCAGGTAAGAATATTATTCTAGGTCTTTGGTGGGACCATACTTGAAGTGCCATGTATAGTATGTCTCCTTACACAAAGGACATACTTGCCTCAGAGGTGGTGTAGTGATGAGTTACCAGACTGATTCCTGGAACAAGTGAACTGTCCCAAAGAGAGTTAGGATAGAATAAGCCTATACTCTCAGGGATTTAGGAGAGTTAGCGTGACCTCAATGAAACTAAAATTCTTTGAGGGTTTGATAGAGTGGATATTGAGCAGCTGTCTTTCATGGCTGTAAATATCTAGAATTAGGGTATCATCTCAAGATAAGGATAAATGGCAATTTAGGATCGAAAGAAGAGAAATTTCTTCACTCAAAGGGTTTTTTTTTGTAATTTCTCATCCAAAAGTATTAGAGATGTTCAGTCATTGAGTACACTCCAGATCAAGACATTGTTTGGCCAATAAACAAGATAAAAGGAGATAGGGAAAGTGTGCCAGGCTTCTGCCTTGGCTACAGTGGGTTCAAGAGGCTACATAGTGTTGTCCTGTTCCCATTTCTTAAGTTCATATAATCAGATTTTATGGTAAAATGGGCAATAAGCTCACCAATGAGAAGAGCAGCCTGGTCAGGATTCCTGCAGCTGTGATACTATGTGTCCTTACAGAGGATGAGATGTAAGTGAAGGAATTATAAACAAAAACCAATGCTTGTTCACACATAAAATAAACACTAACAAATACGTAACTGAAAAAAAAAATGAAGGTGTTGGTAGTTAGTTCTCCAAACGAATTACCATAAAGTGGAAAGTGTGTTTTAAAGACGGTGAAATACCATGTGGAAACGTTGGCCCGACAACAAGATTTTGTCTACCAGGACAATTTATTAAAATTTAAAATTGCCTGTATAAAAGGCCCAATGGGAGTTGAAATCTTGAACCTCTCAAGCTGCTCAGCACACTGAATCTGAAGCCCCTTACTACAAACAGCAGGCAGACAGAAGGAAAGGCTGGAAGTGACAAACAGCACTTTCCAATTCTGCACACATATTCCCTGCCCCAATCCTTTGTAGCCAGCAACTTGGCTCAGAATTGGAGAAAGGAGACAGAACTATGACAGCAGCCTTCGAACAAGCAAGTGCAAGAGACCGTGTGTAGGAGAGGGAGGAGTGGAGATGCTTTGTTAGGTAGGGGCGGTAAACAGACAAGCTGCAAAGAGAAACTTTGACCATTATTTCAACAAGATTCAACCTGGAAGTGTTTAATCTGCTTTCCCTGCTGTCACTTAGCACTCTTACCAGTTAGTTTCTATTCCACATTTCTTGCATTTGGCATTTTTATTTTTATCCCCCATGTATCAGGTTTAAAAAGAAAAACACAAACACAATCTAGTCATCAACCAGCTTCACACTGAGCCCTTAAAATACCATTAGTGTTGTGTTGTGTTGTGTTAATCACACAATGCATTTGTGCAGCAAGTCAATATACACGCTGTTAGTGTGGTTTCAAAATGTTTTCGGTAAATAAAACTCAATTGTCTGCAAAGGAATGAAAATTGAAAGATAACTTAAACAGTAAATTTGAATGCAAACGCAATAACAGAATGTGGAACTGTATTAATTTATCCAAAACTGTTATGCTAATAAAGGTACTGCTGCAGTATTAGGGAATAGGAAGTGATTCTTTATTTCAGTGCTATCATCGGGACTGAGGCAATGAAGCATGTGCACAGCTGCTTCCATTGACATGATTTTTGTAAAACTGTCGCAAGCAATCACGATTTTAAATTGGCCAGGCAGTTCTCACAAGGAGAACAAAACTCAAAGGTGCCTGGATTTTTACAGTGAGTAGTAAAGTGATAGCATTTGTTGCTGATCTCGAAGGAAGCTGCACAATCTGGCAAGCTCCATGTCAGGGATTTCCTTTCCCCAATATAAATTTGAATCTGGCACTAAGTCAAAAGGGACCTCCAGGGAACAAATTCTGTAATCAAGCTGGGTAAGCAGCCAATCATACTGAAAAATATCCATACAGAAAACCACAATTTAAAAGCATTGATTATCTTTCACTCTTCCTTCGAATTCTACGAAAGAAAGAACAGAATTAAGACTGGGACCAACATATTGGATTAGAAGACAGAAGCTGAAAGCTCATGAAAGCAAAAATGCAAAAAACTTGGAAAGCTTCTTTTTCAAAAATCAAAATGGAGAAATTGGACATTTCACAATACAACATTAGTTTTTCAGGGCCAAAATGGTTGTTTGATAGTATGAACTGAGAGCATTAAAATCCATCTACTCAGCAAGAGTAGATCTATCTACAAGATAAAGCTTTTTTTACAGCAGGACTGCTCATTTTGAAGAGCAAAGTTTCATCAGTTCAGTGATTTCTCATTATCACTCATGGAAGTTACAGCAGTGTAACTGATAGGGAAGGTTAGAATCACTGACAGCAACCTTTGAATTTCCACAACTAACCATGCACATGCACAATCCAAAAGTTGCTGTCAGTTTCAGAGGAGTAATGATGGTGTACTCTGACCGTTTCATTGCCATATCGCTGTAAAATCCAGACCAGGGTTAATGTGGCAGGTCAATAACCTGTTATCAGTAGTACTCCAATGAAAACCCAAATGAAACTTTAACGTGATGTGTCTTGACAAGTACCAATTTTTTTTTCACCCACATTTTTCTGGTTTTATTTTAGATTTCCAGCAGCTACAGTGTTTTGCATGGCTGCAAGTTAATCAAAGTGATTATATTTTAATTCAACGCTTAGCCCTGTTTGTTCCTCAGCATATATTTTAAGTGAACAAGAAAAGAAAAGGAACATTCAGATCAGAGAGGAGGATAACTAAAATGTTGCCCAGTGTTCAACACTGTGAACTAGCAGTACCAACCTCAGATCCTTCACCCTGGTGCTGTGGTTATCTCTTTGCAAGCTTGACTCCCATAACAAAACCAACAAACCTGCAACGAATTCCAGAAAATTATTTGTGGGCTGCCACACGGTGATGTTAGAACTGAAGCAAAATTTAATCAATGACTTCTCACTTGCTCAGAGCAGGAAAAGGAATTTGTTTTCACATGTTCGTGCTGTCACCTTGGTGAAGTAACAAGAAAAACAGGAAGGCTGACCATCAGCACAATGGAAATGCTCCTTCCATGACTGTAACAGTTGACAGTACAGTTAGTCCCCAACGGCAGTAAGGTTTATGGGTTTTCTCATTCTACACAATAGGGAATGAGTTTTGCCAAAAAGCATGAAGTAGAGCACCCAAATACACAGAGTTCACAAGTTAGAGCTCTGGTCTCCACTCCCTTGGAACTGCCTGGTACTTCCATTGCTTCAGAACCTGACATCAAGGTACAAATTTGATATTTTCTGACTCCAAGATGTGAATGTTACTGGAGAATTAGCCAGAGGTTACTCTTCAGCAATAGAGGATACAGTCATGGAAGGATTGCCTGTCAGACAGCCCTGCTAGAACATTCCTAATATTTCAAAATTTTTGCAGGGGTAAATATAGAAATCTAAAAAAAAACCACCACACTTTCAATATCAAACTTGAAAAATGGCCATTTAAATCATTTTCACACCAAAGTTATTAGATAAAAACTGCACACACAAACTGAAACGTATTTGAAAAGCTATCTTATAATTGCGTATTTTTACTGCATAACTTTAATTTACCTTTAAGCACAGCATGCCACACAACAGCTAGAACAAAAGCCCTTATTACGAATGTCCACTGCATTGCAAGGTGAACATTTCAAATCAGGCGACAGCTTTTCTTATTCAAGAATGCACTCCAAAGTCAGCAGCTCAAGGAACACAAAGGGTCAGCTAGTTTGCACAAGGTGTATCGGATATTTGCAAAACATAAAAAAGATGCCAGTCAGATCCCAAGGCCACTTCTTCCTCACATCCAATCCACATGTAAGTGAGAAACTTAATTTGTCTGTCAGATTCTTGAATTGTGGCCAATTTGATTTGCAGTCAGCTGGTCTCTCAAACAACCACAAATATGTAAAGTGAACCAACATTTCTAGTGTGTAAACCCACATTCCAAAGATCTTTAAAGACCGAATGGCTCTTTGTAGACAGTCAACCATCATTATCAGAGCATTTTGGGTAAATATGGCATCCGGATTTCTCTTTCCCCTCTTCAAATCTAGAGGGCAATGGACTGTCTGAAAAACTGATTCAAAACAATGATGGAAAATGTGCCACTTTCTGAAAGGAACAGGCTCATTTCTGACAACTTGGAGTAACAGAACATGCTTCAGCATAACATCAGGGCAGACTCTTATAGGGATGGCTGCTCCAAAGACAGAGTTGAATTCCTGTGGCTGTGGGCGAAATATGTGACCATCATTAGTTGTATCATGATCGTAACCATCATTCCCATGTCCATAATCTCCGCTTTCATTGGATGAAGAGCCTTCACCACCATCTTTAATTGCAAGATACAATGCACGGCCAATATCCTTCAATTCTTCCACACTCTGCATATTCTGAAATGTTGGCATTAGCTGGCAGTGTTTATTGATTAAGCATTAAATTTGTAGTTCCAGCATTAGATCATCTCCATCAAAAATACCTCAGAACTAGTGAATCTCAATATGGACCTGCAAAAGAAAGGCATGTGTTGAAATTGTATCAGCTAGCGAACTCTCTCACATGACCTAGCACTCAATTGCCCCAACTCTGGGCCCTACCCAATCCAATCACTCTAACCTCTCAGCATCCATCACCATCCCAAACCCAACCACGAAAGCCTCGCAGTACCCACCCCACCCACACAATCCAACCACCCCAACCTCTCAGCACCCCTCCCCCCCAATCCAACCATCCCAGCCTCCCGGCCCTCCCAACAGTCACCCCATCAGACTCCACATAATTACCCCAGCGCTCCGGTAATCACAATCAAACCCATGTAGCTCCACTTCTTTCTCCATCCTGGTGTTCCTACCTACCCAGGTCACTCCCACTCTCGCCCCCGGCCTCGGCCACGGCCACCCGTTCGCTTACCCACCTGCAAGCGGACATTCAGCATCAGGGAAGCGATCAAGTAGAGGTAGGGGAACCTGAGGCGGAGCCTCCAGGCCAGGTTGAAGAAAGTGACGAGAGTCCGGCTCAGTCCTTTCGAGAAGACGGCGTAAGAGCGGACTACTGGCCCGATTAAAGTGAGCGGCAGGTGCGGCAGTCCCGCCATATACCCCCGACGCGGTTGGCACCAATGGCCGGAAACCGGAATCGCGTCATTCACCCGCCCTCTTTTCCGGCCACACCCCTTCCGGCCTAAGGTCCCACTCAAAAAGTTGGTGCAAAGTTTGTCTACTTCAATCAAACTTTCCCATCGTCAAAATAACAACGTGTCCGGCCTGTGCTTGAGCCTCAGCACCTGCCAAGGTATAAATCAGTGGCAAATCAAAATCCTGTGCGTGTAACATCGTCATAATCCTAAGAGAAATATAATTTCAAATAAAACAACATTTTATTGCTATCTCGATAGTCCCAGATCAAACGTTTCCCTTAAGAAAAAAAATTGCTGATGCAATTTATTTCTCTATTCTATAATTGTTTGTCACTTGAACAAATTAGATGGGGGTCATCACTTTCCTGGAAGGTTTGACTAATACTGCATTTTGCTAATATTGATAAATTTTTTTGCAGATAAACTGTTTCCCACTTCTTAAAAACTAAAACATTGGCATTTAGTTGTTCCACAGTCTTTCATTTCCCCCAACTTGCCTTCTATGCATTCTCAATTTTGCAGATGTACTTTAATCATGGGTGACTTTAGTCTCTGTAGGTTGGGAAAATCAAATTGGTAGAAGTAGCCACAAAAAAATTAGGGTTTATTTGCAACGGTTTGCAAAAACAATATGTGTGCCTATGTTTCGTCTTCTTAACTACCAACTAAACCTAAATGTTAACCTTGAGAGGATCCTGAACTAGGACCTCCAAATTCCTTTGTGCTTCAGAGTTCCGAGCCTTTCCCCATTTAGAAAGTATTCTATGCCTCTATTCTTCCTACCAAAGTGCATAAACTCACACTTACCCACATTGTATTCCATCTGCCATTTTTTTGTCCTCTCTCCTAGCCTGTCCAAATCCTTCTGCAGCCTTCCTGCTTTCTCAACACTACCTGTCCCTCCTCCTATCTTTATGTCATCTGAGTATGTAGCAACAATACCCTCAGTTCCTTCATCTAGTTCATTAACATATATCGTGAATAGTTGTGGTCCCAACACCAATTCCTGTGGAACCTCACTAATCATGGACTGCCATTTTGATAAAGATTCCTTTATCCCCACTCTCTACCTTCTGCCATTCAGCCAATCCTCTATCCAGGCCAGTGCCTTGCCCTTAACACTGTGCAGCACCTTGTCAAAAGCCTTCTGGAAATCCAAATAGAGACGTCTACTGGCTTTCCTTTGTCTAACTTGCTCATTACTGCCTCAAAGAATTCTCATAGATTTGTTGGGCATGACCTCCTCTTGACGAACCCGTGCTGACTCTGCCCTATTTTACCATGCGCCTCCAAATACTCCAAAATCTCATCCTGAATAATGGACTCTAAAATGAAGATCATAGAATCCCTACAGTGTGGAAACAGGCCCTTTGGCCCAACAAGTCCACACTGACCTTCACAGCATCCCACCCAGACCCATCCCCTGTAATCTGCACATGCCTGAACACTATGGGCAATTTAGCATAGCCAATCCACCTAACCTGCATATCTTTGGACAGTGGGAGGAAACTCACATAGACACGGGGAGAATGTGCAAACTCCACACAGACAGTGGCCTGAGGCTGGAATCGAACCCAGGTCCCTGGCGCTGTGTGGCAGCAGTGCTACCCACTGTGCCACCCCCATCTTACCAAAATCTTACCAATGACCAAGGTCAGGCTAACCAGCCCATAGTTTTCTGTCTTCTGCCTCCTTCCCTTCTTAAACGGGGATATATTAGACATTTTCCAGTCCTTTGGGTCCATATCTTACTCTAGTGATTCCTGAAAGACCACCATCAATGCCTCCACAATCTCCTCAGCCAACTCCTTCAGAACTCTGGTGTGTAGTCTATCTGGTCCAAGTTGCTTATCCACTTTCAGACCTTTCAGCTTCTGCAGCACCTTTTCTTTTGTGCAGTCCAATACACTCACATCTGGTCTCTGATTCTCTTGGGCACTTTTTGATGCGCTGTATTAAGCTGCTCATTTCCAGCTGCAGCAGCAAAGGCAGCGTGGTCTGTTCCTCGTGTCCTGGTGGGTCCTGCAGTGTGGTGGTCTGCATCAGCAGTTTGGCATGTTTGGCAGCATGGGGGGTCCGGCCCAGGATTCCAACAGCCTGGCATGGTGGTCTGCTTCAACAGAGGCTTTGATGAGATGGGTCCTTGAGGCAGCTTCTGTGTCCTCTTTGGTGTCATGGTGGTCCAGCTGGGATTTTGGGGTTTCCATGTAGGCTTTCTGCAGTGGTGGAGAATGTGGTTCTCCGGTCAGATACCCTAAACTGATCTAGTCCCATTTGCCAGCATTTGATCCATATCCCTCTAAATCCTTCCTATTTATGTGTGTATGGAATGAGCTGTCAGAAGAAGTGGTGGAGGCTGGTACAATTACATCATTTAAAAGAATGAAAAGTTGCCCCTTAGCTCCCTTTTAAATCTTTCCCCTCTCACCCTAAACCTATGCCCTCTAGTTTTGGACTCCTCTACCCTGGGAAAAAACCCTTGGCTATTCATCCTATCCGTGCACCTCATCATTTTATAAACCTCTATAAGGTCACCCCTCAGTCTCTAACGCTTCCGGGAAAATAGGCCCAGTCTATTCAGCCCTTCCCTATAGCTCAAACCCTCCAACCCTGGCAACATCCTTGTAAATCTTTTCTGAACCCTTTCAAGTTCCATAACATCGTTTCTATTAGCAGGGAGACTAGAATTGAACACAATATTCCGAAAGTGGCCTAACCAATCTCCTATCCAGCCACAACATGACATCCCAACTCCTGTACTCAATGCACTGACCAATAAAGGCAAGCATACCAAATGCCTTCTTCATTACCCTTGTCTACCTGCAACTCTACTTTTAAGGAACTATGAACCTGCATCCCAAGGTCTCTTTGTTCAGCAATACTCCCCAGGACCCCACTGTTAAGTTTATAAGTCCTGTCCTGAGTTACCCTCACATATATCTAAATTGAACACCATCTGCCACTCCTCACCCCATCGACTTATTGGATCAAGGTTCCGTTGTGTTCTGAGATAAACTCTTTACTGTCCACACAACACCAATTTTGGTGTCATCTGCAAACTTATTAACCATACATCCTATATTCACATCCAAATCATTTATATAAATGACAAAAAACAGTGGACAACGTACCAAACTTTGTGGCATATAACTGGTCACAGGCCTCCAGTCCGAAAAGCAACTCTCCACCATCACACTCTGTCTTCTACCTTCGAGCTAATTTTGTATCCAAATGGCTAGCTCTCCCTGGATTCCACATGATCTAACTTTGCTAATCAATCTACCATGTGGAACCTTGTCAAATGCCATGCTGAAGTCCATATAGACAACGTCCATCGCTTTGCCTTCATCAATCTTCTTTGTCACTTCTTCAAAAAACTTAAATAAGTTAGTGAGACATGATTTCCCATGCGCAAAGCCATGTTGACTATCTCTAATCAGTCCTTACCTTTCCAAATACATGTAAATCTTGTCCCTCAGAATCCCCTCCAACAAGTTACCCACCACTGATGTCAGGCTCACCAGTCTATACTTCCCTGGCTGTTCCTTACCACTGTAATAGCTCCACATTAGCCACCCACCAGCCTTCCTGCACCTCACCTGTGGCTATCGATGATGCAATGTCTCAACAAGGAGGTCCAACAATCACTTCAAGAGCTTCCCACAATTTTTTAGGATACACTTGATATCAAGATATCAGTATTTAGTTGATCCAATGACAGTGAAGGAACGGCGATATATTTTCAAATCAGGATGGTGAGTGGCTTGGAGGGGAACTTGCTGATGGTGGTATTCCCAGGTATCTGTTTTTCACATGCCTTTTCACATGGTAATTTCTTAGGTTTGGAAGATGGTGTCTAAGGAGCCTTGGTGAATTTTCACAGTGTATCCTGTAGATGGGTCTTGGCAGAGTAGATGCTGAGAGGTATTCCCTCTTGTGGTAGAGTCTGGGACCAGATGGCATAATCTCAGAGTAATGGGCACCCAGTTTGGACAAAGAAGAGGAGAAATTTCTTCTCAGGTGATAGTGAGCCTGTGGAATTCTTCACAGCAGAGGACTGTTAAGGCTACCTTATTAAGTATGTACAAGGCTGAGATAGACAGATATCTTTAATCAATAAGAAAATCAAGGATTATGGGGAAAAGGCAGGTTAGTAGAATTGAGGATTAGATTATTGGATTATTGGTCATGATGCCATTGACCGGCAAAGCAGACTCAGACTCACCACTTTCTCAAGGGCAAATAGGGATGGGCAATAAATGCTGACTCAGCTAGTGACACCAACATCCCATGAATGAATTTTTAAAATGGGCTGAATGGCTGCCTTCTGTTGCCAGTTCTTATGGACTGTAGCTATTTCAAGAAGGTTGCTCATCACCACGTTCTCAAGGACGTTAAATGATGGCCAAGCCAGCAATGCCCACATCTCTTGAATTAATAAAGAAAATGGGAAGTGGGTGGGAAAGTGAATTGGAAGCCCAGGATCAGCCATGATAGTATGGATTTGCACAGCAGGATAGTCAGGCCACATGGTCTCCTGTTGC